GCGGAAAGATTACTTTTTGTGCATGCCAACAGTTTTTTTTTCCGCACATTCGTAGGAAAAAAAACGGATCATCTTAGTTTCAGGTGTCCAGAAAATGGCAGAGATTATCCTGTTTTCAATCCCTAGTAGGACTGCTTATTGAGCTGAAAGTGTTTGCCAACGGCTATGTCAGCTTCATGGGTACTCCAACTCTTGGAGTAAAATGCATTATTCGAGTTTAAAGCACACAAAAAAATTTATTCCTAAACGTTAAAATCTTGTTAAAATCACCTTTTCTACATTTAAAATCGACGAAAAAATCAAATAACGAGCACAGCCTGAATCGCAAGCCTTCCATCGAGGTCTGCAGGTGACGTCATCACTATTAGCAGCTGTGGCGACGTCACCCGCAGACCCTGCCTGCTCAAGAATTGGTGAACGTACGCCTTATTAGGACGAGCAATCCTGTTTACGATTGTTGTATAAAAATTTCGAAAATCCCAACAAAATCCTAATCTTTGATTGCACAAACAAACTAGCATCTGCAAAAAGTTTTTCTGACTATTGAAAAATAAACAGTTCTCGTCAAAAATCATTTTCCGTAACTTGAAAACATTACCTACATATTTTAAAAACTGCTGTTTTCGTCACTCGTTAAACAATAAACATTGTCCGCACCTGTAAGGAAAATCTAACTCAAACAAAATAATATACATTGAGGTCAATTTGGCAACGCAGCATTCCTTGCCTTAACCTTTCAGAATTGTTTTGGCGCTACCACCAAGCTCTTGTCGCCATTGTATGTGGGGTATAGGTTAGGTAAAGGTTGCAGGTTTTGGCGTTCAAAAATCAAGTGTTCCAATGTTCCCACCTCCCCACATTCACATTCCGGAGAGTCCTTTATCCCCAGTCTGTGAAGGTGTGCGGGGGTTAGGCAATGACCCGTCCTCATTTTGATGCTTGTCGTTATATGTCTTCTGTTCAAATATTCCAGATTGTTGAACTAGGGTTCATCCGGAAATGATCCTACATATTGTTTGTACTTAATGCCCTTGTTTCCTGATGAGTTCTTCCAATATTCCTTCCAAATTCGCTTATGCTTCCTCTTAAATTCCGGAATATATTCCTTGACATCCAATAGGATGGGGTAAGGGATCTTAAGTAATGTTCTCCCAATAGCAAGATTGTCAGCAATTACATTTCCCTCTATGTTTGCGTGTCCAGGAAGTAAAGCCGGATGTCTAAGCCAGCTTCATTCGCCTCGAATATAATCTTGGTTTTTTAGTTCTCTGCCATTTATGGCCTTCGCTGTGTTTATATTGTTGAAATTTCATAAGATGTCAATGTCGGTGTCAGACTGTCAGTCAAAATTCCATTTTTGTCATATTTTTACCTCATTTTTTTCAATAATTAAAGGTTCAAAATAAAATAGTATACATAATTCGGTGGAAAGTTTTCCCATTATTGTCTCGAGAATTGGTTGACCTCGGCGCTTCGCACCTCGGTCAACCATAGTATCAATAAGTACATAAAGTAAGGCTTTATTGTACGAACAGTTTTATGGCCGAGCGAGCTTGCGAGCGAGGCTATTAAATAATGAGTCATAAAACCTGTTTATGCAAGCGTTATACGGATGTTCCGAAACTATTGTGCCAAAAATTGAAGAATAATAGATCTCGCCAAAATAAACGTTTTTTGCTTATAAAACCATAGGCGCATGCGCTTTGGTGAGGTGATAATAGCACATTAAAGTCCGCACTGTGGTAGCCAAGTTGCACACGGAGAAACGTGTTGAATAAGCAGAACCGGTGTTATTGAATAATACAGAACCCAAAGAATGCTTGCAGTATTTATTTAAAATAATGATTCACATCAAAAGATGCTCAAAACTACGACCACCCGCCTCAATGCATATGCAACAGCGTTTTAGCAGAAATATCGAGTAGATTTCTGCAGGAAACCTTTCCCGAAACTGTTTTCCTGTATGCCAGACAAAACATAGAGTAGGTACCAACACCGACAGACCACTACCACATTACTTGTTAGCCTTAAGGGAACATCTCAACGAAACATCTGGAAAGAGTGATTGTTAAGGGGGCATGGACTCCACGTTCACCAGACCTGACGGAATGCGATTTTTTTTATGGGAACTGGGGACATGGAAACTCTTGTTTACGACACTCCAGTTGAAACAGCTAGAGGTAGTTAGTAGGAAGGATTGTTGCAGCAGCTGCTGAAATTCTCGAAACACCATGCATTTTTCAACGTGTTCAGGAGGCTATGCTACGGCGCAATCACGCACGTATAGAGGTGGGTGGTCGTAGCTTTGAGCATCTTTTGCTGTGAATCATTGTTTTTAGTAAATACTGCAGGCATTCCTTGGGTTGTGCATCATTTAATAACACAGTTTCTGCTTCAAACACGTTTCTCCGTGTGTGAGGTGGCTACCACAGCGCGACCTGTGATGTTCTATTATCACATAACCAAAGCGCATGCGCCTATGTGTTTATAAGTAGAAAACGTTTATTTTAGCGCGATCTATCATCCCTTAATTTTTGGCACAATAGTTTCGGTACACCCTGTACCTATAAATGATTTTATGTAGGATTGTGACTGATTTTTATTAAAAAATAAAAAAATTGAATGAAACAATTGAAATTCGAGTATACCTGTTTCACCTTGGCAGGTTGTCAGGTAGTCTAGGTAGGCAGTAAAGCAGCACTTTATTTTACTAGCAAAATAAAGTAGCACTTTATTTTACAGTAAAATAAAGCGCTACTTTATTGACGCAAAACTGTTCTATAAATAGCGCTTTATTGGTCAATCGGACATAATAGTTATTTATGCAACAATTAGTGTGTAAAGTTAACCTTTTATCACGAATGTGAATTTTGACCCACGAGCCGGAGGCGAGTGCGACAATCACATGAGTGAAAAAAGGTGCTTTACGCACGTATTGTATACAAATTTTTTTCTACTACCAATCAAATATGTGTCAAAAAATAGATCTAGACAAATACTTTACACACTAGTGCGTGAAGTATTTTCAGTTTACGCACTAGTGCGTGAAGTAATTTACCAGAAAAATACTAAATTGACAGTGTCAACATCTGTCATTGACATTACTTTACGCACTAGTGTGTGAAGTGAATTACTTTACGCACTAGTGCGTGAAGTGAAATTTTACGTGTTCTAAATAGTGCGTAAAGTGGGTACTTTACGCACGGTAGTAGAAAATAGTTATTTATGCAACAAGTGTGTAAAGTGAACCTTTTTTCACGAATGTGAATTCACATGAGTGAAAAAAGGAGCTTTACGACGTATTGCATACAAATTTTTTTCTACTACCAATCAAATATGTTTAAAAAATAGATTTAGACAAATACTGCACGCACTGGTGCGTGAAGTATTTCCACTTCACGCACTAGTGCGTGAAGTAAATTACCAGAAAAATACTAAATTGACAGTTTTCAACATCTGTCATTGACATTACTTTACGCACTAGTGTGTGAAGTGAATTACTTTACGCACTAGTGCGTGAAGTGGAATTTTACATCTTCTGAATAGTGCGTAAAGTGAGTACTTCACGCACGGTAGTAGAAAATAGTTATTTATGCAACAAGTGTGTAAAGTGAGCGAATATGAATTTTGACGACAATCACATGAGTGAAAAAAGGTGCTTTACGCACGTATTGCATACAAAATTTTTTCTACTACCAATCAAATATGTTTACAAAAATAGATTTAGATAAATACTTTACGCACTAGTGCCTCAAGTATTTTCACTTTACACACTAGTGCGTGAAGTAATTTACCAGAAAAATACTAAATTGACAATGATGACATCTGTCATTGACATTACTTTACGCACTAGTGTGTGGAGTGAATTACTTTACGCACTAGTGCGTGAAGTGTAATTTTACGTCTTCTGAATAGTGCGTAAAGTGAGTACTCTACGCACGGTAGTAGAAAAACATATTTTTTAAGCCTTTCAATAATAAAGCCAACAATTGGTAAAGTAAGCTTACGTTTGTTTATCCTGCTGCGGCCACATCTATTTTGTTTAATTACGAGTTTTTGTTTTCCGTACCTACTTAATCTATACTGGCATGATGAACCAGAGGCGTTTTCTCGCGTCTCAAATGTGTCAAAACATTTTTCGAAATTGGTTTAAGGTTTAAAGTCAACCCCTATTTTCTGAACCTTGTGTCCAAAAATTCCAAAAAAAATATATGTTTTATGGTTATTGATATGCTTTAATCCATAATTAATATTAAGCAAATTTGACTCGCCATTTTTGAGTTATATCGCAAAAACTGAAAAAAAAGTGGTTTTTCACCATTTATTTCAAAACGAATAGATGAAGTTGCCCGTTATTTTTATTACGAACTACTATTGCAATTCTACGCAACATATATTTTTTTTCAAATTTTTTGAACATGTAGTTTTCTCGCTACTGCAAAAATAGTTGGAAATACGCCCGTAGCTACGCTGTTTAGAAAAAAATCCGACGGATGAACGTTCAAAATTATTTGCGTTGGTCGAAATTACAACCCTGTTTATGTAAAACAGAATAATACTTCGAATTTCCGCAAAAAAAAGAAAAAACTTTCCATCACACAATTTAACCAAATGAGGATTTCTATTTTTTTTTACTATCAAGAGGCCTGACTTAAGTATTGTCATCATGACGTCATAATTTCTCGGCGCAAGAAAATGGTTTGAAAACGTGGATTGGATTGTATTTCGAAACGGTTTGAAACAATTTTGACGTGACGTCATGGGCTTATCGCGAGAATGTACTGTTTCAAAACAGTTTTGAACCAGTTTCAAAAAAGTGGACGCGAGAAAACGTCTCGGAAATCTCATCTAACTTTTTTATGGTAGTTTTATCTGTAGTTCTGGTTCTCGCTCAATTTTGTTCACCCCGGAGCTCAAAATTTTTGCCGCCCACTGGAGTCACTGACATAACGAATTCAGGGCAAAGTGTACCATATTCCTCAAAATTGAAAAGACAAACACACAAATAAGTTTTTATTAAGATTATCCTAGACTTAAGTTAAAATACACTAAATGAATGAGAAATATCACGATGACATTTTATTAAAATTGAAAATTCAAATGTATTAGGGTTAATATTGGAATGTCAATGATATCAATATCAGTTCGCATAGTAGAAGTAGATCCTCCCTCGCTCCGAACTGAATCAACATTTAAATCTTCTGTTGATGGAGCATGTAAAAAGGGACAATCCTGGTCCAAAAAACAGAGCCCTTTACCATTTCTGAAATATTTGCAAGGAATTTTTTCCAATTCCAACTTTTTGGCGGTGATGTAGGCGTCCTTTTCCTCTTTATTGTCATACCAAAACTGACTGGAATAAGCAAACTGGGACACAGTTCTGCATAGCGGACACCCATGGATTACATGCAAACCGAAACCTGGCGTCTGTCTCCAACGGCGGATGCACGGAAAGCAAAAACAATGCTGACAATTTGGTAACAATCCAAATTTTCTGTCTTTGGTATCTGGTTTCTTCATAATTATTTCGCCGCATATACCACACTCTTTAGACGCCGAATTTTGCATGAGAACCTTCTCTTTTTGTGCACTGGGACTTAGGGAACATAAACACTTTGATCTTAGGAAATATCTAGGCTCAGGGTTTGAGGACATTTTGGTTATTGAAAGCAATTAATGATTATTCAATTACACTACATTTGACTACATTTGACATTTAGCTTTGTTCAGTGGTTGATTTGCCCGCCCCAACCGACACTTTCTACACCAAACATCAACAACGTTTTTGTCGATTGGCAAGCAAATGTCAACCTTGCGTTGTCAAAACAAATCGCAAAAAGTCAGTTTTTACAACTTTTTATTAATCTGTGGTTTTTATAGTGGAGTTCAGTCAATGAACTAAACAAACACACTGGAACGGTGGCTGCATAAAGACCCCTACGCATGGGTTTGTGCCAGGAAGGACAACAAACAAGTGGGATTTGCATCTCTCTCTGCATTATGGCGGCTATTGAGAACACCTGTTTGAAGTGTTTGGATCATTAAGGTTAGGAAGATGAAGATGCTCTTCTTTTTTTTTACGTTAAACGCAATGAGTGCGAGCGAGACCACATTTCCTCTGTATTGCTGGGTTGCATATATCAAAATTCGGCACACTAGCATAAAGCAGTGCGCCCGTTCCAGAGTATTTGTTTACTTCAATGAGTTCAGTTAATCCTCAGTGAGTAAAAAGATGACAGGATCAGGTGATCAGGAGTGGGATTCTCAATCGTTAAGTCGATACGTAACGTCCCGACTCCTTGTAGAAGTCGGGGTCGATAGGTTGCGACTAGAGGTTGAGAATCGGGGGGCTGTTTCGAATCTTCAAATCGAAGATCTCATGGGTTTCTGCCAAGAGTGTCATTTTTCAGCCCGCGGATTGCTGAATGCTCGTCGGCCTCGATTATTGAAATCAAGGTCATATAGTGTTGCACCGTTGCCGACGTCATCAACGATGTCGTTAGCGCTGTTTGCGCCAGCGGTCGAAGATTAGAATATTAATTATTTATGATGAGAAATAATATTTAATTTTGATTAACATAATAGACAAAGAGAAAGATTCAAACGAGATCTAAAAAAGGATTGTTTTGGAATGTTAATTAATGCACTAAAACCAAGCCAGCGGAACCATCTGTGGTGCACCCTACGTCAAGGCGAGAGGCGACACGCTGTTTACGTCATCACTGGTAGTTAGGCGGGGTGAGTGGCTTGCGATTTGATCTACACAGGCCTTATGAGGATAATTCGAAAAAATTGTTCATGGCTCAAAGAGAGCTGTGTTCAAATTATTCAATAGTGAAGAAAAAACACCAAGTTGTGGTCTCAAAATAAAATTTACATGAGGTTACATGTTTCGCCCAATAATGGGTATCATCAGACCTTCAGACTGAACTCTCATCAGTTAGTAGTTCCGAAAGACGCATTACTTTAAAACATTTTTTCCTGCAACTGTCTCTGAAAATGGAGTTTTTCACATGCTAGGCAACCTCTGAAAAAAGAGTTTCTCGCACAGCGTGCGAAAAAGCTTTTCACACGCTCCTCAGCGCGCGAAAAAAATTTTCGCACGCTGCTTATTAATTTTTTATTTATTTTGGTCCTATCATCCTGACATGACATGACATAAATTGCGATTATTGTCACCAATTTCTGATGTTGATGATTTGTTTTCTAACAAATTAAAATTACATAGGGTTGTTTTATTTCGAAGTTGTAGGAAAAGCATCGCATATAACTAGTTTGAAATAGTATATTGTGCAACAAGTGTTGAAAATAGCACTTTTCACACGCGTGGGAAAGTTGGTGACACGAGCCGCAGGCGAGTGGCACAATTCGAACGAGTGTGGAAAGTGCTTTTCACACGCGTTACACACTATACTTTTTCTACGACTGCGAAATAACTATATTCTCATTGAGATTTAATTTTTTTTTTTGTTAAAAAATAATTTAAGGTTAAAATCAACTATTTTGGTACGTACGTTGAATGCACTCAGAGTTACTTGCAAAACAAAAATTCAGTGAAGTGTCTTTTTATTTTAGCGTGTCAAAAGTACTTTTCGCACGCAAAAGCTTGTGAAAAGTTACTTTTCGCACGATGTGCGGAATAATTGATTTTCTAGGTAAGTTAGTAAGTAGTGCCTTTTTAATAGCTTTCTAGAGCAGTCGTAGAAAAACCTTTTTTCACACTCGCTCGAGTTGTGGAACTCGCCTACGGCTCGGTCCAACAACCTGTCTCGGCCATGCGAAAAAAGTCGTTTTCAAAACGTGTTGTTTAAATAACTATTAAAGTACGCTGAGAGTTTTATAAATTTTATTTTGAGACCACGACCAAAGTTTACGACTTTGTTTTTCTTCACTATTGAAGTAACTTATGAGTAAGGATAGGCTATTAATTTTGTGTAGTGTGTAATATCCTTGCCCCTATCTGACTCAAAAGCCCGACCAATGACGTACACATGACGTAGTTGACAAATATTGGAAGACACAATCTCACAATGGATGACACCATTACATCATTCACGTTTTTGTTGAAATTTCCATATTTTCAATTATTTAAATTCAAAATGAGTGCGATCCAAAGCTCCAATGATGCAAAAGAAGCAAAGCTTCAGCAACAACCAGCTCTCAAAACCTGTGGCATGTGTTTCGAGATAGTTATGGAACACCCGAATCCCGAAAATAGAAAATCTGGTTTGTTACAAAATTTCTCTCACTGTTTTTGCTTCGAGTGCACCATGAGGTGCCGGAAGGTGGAAAAGTGCAGCTCAGACGTGACCCGGGGGTGTCCGGAATGCAGAATCGAATCCAGCCACGTGTTTTCCAACCAGTTTTGGTTTGAAAAAAAAGAAGATAAGGATGCATTTATCAACGACTGCATTAGGAACTTCAAAGAGATCGATGGCTTGCATTTTGATAGAGGCAAAGGGCTTTGTAGTTCAGGCATAAACTGTATGTATACTTACACGCTCTTCCTATATATAAAGATGAAGATGAGGATGAAGATGTTTGGTCATGTAGTAGGTACAGAAGTTGACTCATATCCAGATTGGGGTTCAACTTTATTATTTCGATGAATCCACGGATAATTATGATATTGATGATATAGTCGTAATCACGATAGAAAGTGAAGTTGAAAGTTCGCGTTGACATATCTAGTATTTTTTTTCTTTAGGTTGCTAGCATGCGTAAGCGTTTTCATTCCGTCAGCTGGGATAAACGACAGGGTCGTATTTAGGAAAATGATATGCATTCCAGATTTATTTTTAATTTCTTTAAAGGAAGTCAAGTTATTAAAATCCTGCATAGTAATATTAAACATCTGTAATAGAACAATTTTCTAATAGTTGTTGATGTAGCTGGCCGCCCAAGTACTCTGTTGATTTTCAAAGGTTAGATGGTATATGCGAGCGGTTTATTGATGCTAGTTATTTCCTTGGGTAGCTACAGAATTAAATGCTGAAGGGGATTTACTTGCAAAAGAGAGAAACAACTGCAGTATTTCCACACATATTATACATACAGGGTGTCCCACGGTGGATGGCGTATTAGACGTTTATGGAGAACTAAAAAGCGGATCATTTTGAAAATTTGGCAACCGGGATAAACGACCATAATCTACACTTTAAAAATATTTTTGTTTATGCGGTGTTGCCGCTTCTACTCTAAACTAGTGGCAACATCGCTATTTTTAATGGAATACCCTGTATGTGATTGCATATTTCGATTCTACGTAAAATTCTGAGCAGATTTCATGTTATATACCCTATACCTAAGTTCAACTGTTTTGGAAATAATGACAGTACTAAAATTCACTTTTTGCAACTTTGACAGGCTGTAAAACCTGAACGGTTAATTTTAGAGGAAAACCTATTTCACATTCCCATCTTAGATTTTTATAAACTATAATTTGACACCAACTTTGAATTTAATCCATGATTAAAAATTCCAATTAAATTTAATCTCCGGTTAAATTCAGAGTTGGTGTCAAATGATAGTTTATGAAAATCTAAGATAGGAATGTTAAATCGGTGTTCCTCTAAAATTAACCGTTTAGGTTTTACAACCTGTCAAAGTTGCAAAAACTCAATTTTCAACTGTCAATATTTCCGAAATAGTTGAACTTAGGTATAGGATATATCACATGAAATCTGTTCAGAATTTTACGTAGAATCCAAATATGCAATCACATACAGGGTGTTCCATTTAAAATAGCGATGTTGCCACTGATTAAGAGTAGAAGCGGCAACACCGCATAAACAAAAATATTTTTAAAGTGTAGATTATGGTCGTTTATCCCGGTTGCCAAATTTTCAATATGATCCGCTTTTTAGTTCTCCATAAACGCCTAATACGCCATCCACCGTGGGACACCCTGTATTTAATTTTAAATAAATGAACCCAAATTTTTCCAATAATAATATACAGTACTTAAATTTCTACTCAAATTTTCCATTAATAAAATTATACAGTACTAAAATTTCTACTCAAATTTTCCAGGAATAAAATTATACAGTACTAAAATTTCTACCCAAAATCTCTTCTCATGTGGCTTACATCAGGCTTTTCCATGAGGGCTCTTCTTGGATCATCCTTTCTAAAGGTAAATCCTAACGTGGGCAAAACCCTGCCTAAACTTGACTGGGAACCGTAATAAATTTCCCTTTCTTTCAGCCTATCACTTACAGTCTTAAGGGTAACATATGCAATTCTAAAAACGAAAAATGCTTGTTTAAATATTGTAGTACTGTAGCAACAGCAAATATTACTGATTTTAGTTAGTATATCTTGTTCAATTAGCTTTGAGACTTTCGTCACCAAAATGAACTAAAATTACCCAGTCTAGTTTATGAAATGGCTTAAACTTATAATTGAAGAAGAGAGGAGTATGCATTCTGTGTAATAATTTATTAAGAAAATCCGCCGAGTGCTTCCGGCCTTAAGTCATCACCAGTGCTGCTTCGTCGCAGGTACAAACATCACACATAAGAGACAACTGACACAAGTGGACGTGCATAATTAAATTTAACTATTAATTAATCAATTACCTGTGTAGTAATGGGTTTTTTACCAAAAACTGCTAAATAATATAAAAAAGGAAGAATAACAGTAAGAGGTGGGCGACAGATGGGACATTGCCCCTCTAAATAATTTATACAAGCATAATATTAGATGATACATTAAATAGGAAGTTTAATTAGTGATACCATGTTTAGAGGTACCAAAGTCCACTAGAAAATA